TGTAAACATTTTTTTAGACATAGCCTCATCAAATATTTTGACATGAAATTTGACATAAATGCGACTGACAGTACTACCAACAAAAAATAATAATTCAAATGTCACCTTATTTTTTGGGCACAGGTATATTTATACAAATTTTTGAAAATAAGTTCTCCAGTATGGTATACTTGAGCAATATTAAAAATTAATGGAATAGAGTAGACTATCATCTTTCTACCTTCAATACATGTATTTTATAGAATGATTTCCGAATTTTTACGGTTTGATTTCATCAAATTAATCAAATGACAGATATAGCTCATTTGAAGATGATTTAGAATAATTTTCGTTGACGTGATTAAGATATAGCACTGAAACTAAGCAAGTCTAAGACCTTCAAAATAAGTTAGTATGATTCGAAATTGTATTCTAATCCATTCACGATTTCGTCGAACAATGAAGTTCAACCGTTTCGCTACATTTTTTAAAATTGCCAACAACCGAAGATATTTCGCTGGCTTTCATCCTTACAAGTCGCAAGAGTATAAAATGTGCGATTACACCAAAACTTAGCCCCTCCTTCCCCCGTTTATTGTTATTACTAGTTTTTTGTGTGCAGGTAAGCTTAAAAATACAGTATACATAAACAACGGATAAGAATTATCTACCATATATATTATTCAAGTAACTTCACTGCGTTTGGGAGCACTGTAAGAAAATTGCGTTCCAACGCACGTTTCGCACATTTTTAACGCGCCCGTTACATTTTATTTACATTTAATCACATACGCACGCTCATAATTTTCTTTCAATTTCGCAAATTTACATAAATACAGGGTGCGTCATAAAGCGCCGAAAACGCTATTTCTGCTGTGAAGCAGAGTATCGAAAAAGACCTGAATGAGTCTCTCTGCCATCGTGCGCATCGTGCGCAACAATCGGACCTGTGTCCTTCCACTTAATGGAAGTTTAGCCCTCATCCAACTCGTGCCAGAATTGAAGCCGAACGATCAACAACCCAAAATGGCCACTGATGCTGATTTTCATAAGAAATTGTCTTTAGTGAGCTCACTTTTCTCATTCTCAATGAGTCTCTGTGTACGACTTTTGCTTCCAACAAAACCATGCTATCAGCCATACCATGGAAGAAACTTTTCTTGAGCGTTTTATCTCGCGACTTGAGCTTTGGTTAGGGATATGCGAAGACGCTTTTCGACGCTTATAAGCCCGAGACGACGCATTATTGCTAACAAAATTACTTCTAAGTGGACATCTTGGCTGGAATTTAATCGAATCAACCGCGGCGGTCACTTGCCCGAAATCAGTTTTAAATTTAATTTCTTCTTGAAAGCCAAATGTAAAAAAAAAAACACATGTCACTTTCAAGCTATCCCGTATTGTATATTAAGAAGGTGACATGGACTAACAGTTTAGATATTCAAAATTAAATTCCTTTCACATTTTTGTTAGGATATTTGAAAAGCAAAGAATGCGCCTAGTTGGCTGAACCCAAAGTTTGGTTCCAAAATCAATTCGAGGGTAAATATATCTAGATTCTGGCAAAAGATATGGAAAGTCCAAAAAAGAGATTACCATGACCAATGTAGGCAGACAAATTATTGTTGCTTTATTAAATAAATCACCCAAATAAATTACCAATTTAAAGAAAATATGTCAAAAACTATAAAAGCGGTTATTGTTCTTTCTAAAAATATTCAATGTCTACATAGCGACATAAAAACTGATTCACCCCTGGTATGTAGTACATATATGTAGGTAGTAAACGCAGGTAAGTAAATATTTGGTTAAACATGCTCATATGCATTCATACTCGCAATGATTAGTTAGTCTTAGCTTGCTTACTTAAGCGTACTTAGTAAGGGTTACATAACTCAAACAGGCTTATATGAAAATATTTGCTTTATTAAATATTTACGCATACTGAGCCGGAAATAAAAAAAAAATAGTAAATATAATAATAATTTTATTAAATAAATAAATGCAAGGAAGTTGCAGAAGTAAATTCCGTAAAACCTGTATTAAATCATTAAAGTAATATGGATAGTTTCCTTTTGCCGAATTATGATAATTAAGAAAGATATACGATGAGTTGATTTTACATAAAAATACAATTAATAATTCTAATATAACGAAAAAATGTTTCATATTCATGACCTAATATAATGCGATGATTCTTTCTCGATATAAGATCGTAAAACAGCTAGAAAATTATGGATTACAAGTTATTACTATGCGTAAAAATAGTAAGACTTTGTTCATAATTTTAAAATTCCTAATTTCTAATAATCACAATACACCCGTTTTTTCCAATCCTCGAAACAGTTATTAAACTGAGTTCCGGAATAGTCTACCGGTTTCCGCGAAGCGGTCGGTAAGATTTTGGCTTGCTTTAGCGTGGTTTTTTCGGCCTACGCCTAGCTTTGCAACAATAATGGGCCGATTAATCGTCCATTTCAGGGTCGTTGGCATAGATCCAAGACTCTTCGCTAGTAATAATACGTTTCATGACATCCTGGTAGTCGGAAAGCATTGTTAACGTGACGCTGTTTTTACAAAAACTTGAGTGATTTTGAAACCAGTCGTGCTTGTACTTTGGGCTTAAAAATAATCTTTCAAAATGATATTCCAAAGTTGCCAGAAGGGGCGCTGTCATCAGTTGATCTTGATAGTCCTGGACGTGGTTCGTTGTCAACGCACTCTCGTCCCTCTTTGAAAAATTTGTACCAATTAAAACATTTTCTCACGATAAATAATTATCACCAAAGGTATTTCCAACATTCTGAACGTTTCAGCACCTGATTCCATACACAAAACTTAACGGAGCTTCTTTGTTGATTAACAGCACTCAACGTAAAAATAGCTGAACGTACTTTATGTACGTCAGAGAGACAATCGTAAACTAAACACTAATGATTATTTTTCACCGATGTCACTGACAGTGTATAAAAAAATATTCTAACGAATAAGGTTAAGCCTAAAATTTAAATTAAAAACTCTTACTATTTTTTGCCCATAGTAGTATAGGGAATTTTTAATGGAAACTGGTTCGGTTTAAGTGAAGGATCAAATGATTTTTTCAACTTCTTGACATTGTTTGCGATAAAATGATCTATTTTAGAAACAACTTTTATACTCCTGCATCATGTTGCACGGATGGTATAACAGTTTCGTAGTTCTAACGATTATTTGTGACATCATAAAATAATACAGAACGATAACCTTAGTTAGAAGGTACTGCAAATGGACGGAATCGGAAGTATGCATGTATTGAGTTACTGAAACATGTCGTAGCGTCTTGTAAAGTTTTTCCTATAAAATTATATTGTAGAAACCACAGGTTATTAATGGCTTATCAACTTTAAATTTTATATTGTCTGTTATAAATAATGTTATCTAAATGTCGGTCGATTATCAGGCGAGTAAAACTTCTTTCGAAACATAAACATATATACAAGTTTCAGGTGATAAACTAACTTCAACTTCTTCAACTTTTACTTTTTATACACTCATAAGATATTTCACCTAAGTCTTATGGTTGCGTTTCCATAACGGGAGCATCTTAACGTAATCCAGATTTATGATGTTATGTATCAATATGTTGTTGCAACGGTTTCTCTATCCGTTGGAACTTGAAAAGAATATTTCCGATAATAACTGGTATTTTTTAACATGTGATTTTCAATGAAGCAAAACTTTTTTCAGAAATGGTGTTTTTGACAGCTGCATACTCCTTTAAAGGATTACATGGGTTTAAAAGTTTCAAAAAAATCGTTATTTTACTGTCTTATTTAACTCTACAACCCCTCTAGAATATTAAAATATTTTCGAGTTGATCCGTGTAACAGTTTCAGAGATACAGCCTTGAGAACATGTGCGCTCGCGGCAGCTAGCCAAGGTACGCGGTCTTTAAACACGTTTTTCTCGAAGGTGTGCTTTTGAAATAGGTTGGAAAGGTTTCTCGAGAAGTATTCAACCGATCTTGATGAAATTTTACATAGGTATTTGAGATACAATTCGTAAAGACTTGGACGGAAGATTAATTTTTTTTTTTTCGATTACAACTGTTTGAAAAAAAACTAAATTTTTAAATTTTTTGTAACAAAGTCTCCCAAAAATCCTATTTTAATCTTTTTTCTTTCATCCAAGTTCTAAGTTAAGGGTTTAGAGAAAACACGTATTTTTCACTTTAGATGATCTTGTAAGGATAACTCCTGTCTTCTTTCTTCATAGTGTACGTTTGTAACAATAAAAAATTGTAATAAATTATTTCATTTTTTATATGAGAAAATAATTGTTGAAAAAAAGCTGTTTTTTAACAGAGAAAACCCATGTAACCCCTTAATATGCATAAGAAAATTTGACATGGACCCAGTTTGCGACCCGTTTCTTCATCTAAAAACGAAAACTGTTTACAGAAATTATAAATTTATTATGATATTTCAAATTCATGCACACTCCTTTAACCATTATTCTTTGAGAGAGTACTTCATATTTCGTTCCGCATAAATTGAAGCTCACCTTATTCGTTTTAAATTGTTATTTATGTAAATACAGGTAGTGGATATGTATATATTAATTGCGTTATTTGCAAACGCTATCAACAGTTAAACGGAATGTTCTCTTTAACACCCTAAGCTCACTGCACTGTTACCATTCTCAACGCAACTCAGCGCCGCTCACGGCAAGCAATCTAAACTCAATCAGCCGCACCGCTGATCACAATATATCGCATTCTCAGTGACAGGTCAATTTATTTGTTTTATAATAACAAAAACTTCTACACTATTTTTTACAAGTGCAGAATGCAAGAGCACAAAACAGCACGATAACAAGTTATTTGCATACCCAAATGCTCAAAAACAGGTACAACTTAGAATGCGAGCAAGCGGATTGGTTCTCACGTCACGTTACATCACCGACAGACAGGTTACAGATTTAAGCGGCAATTGGCGCGGTGGGCGGCTACGCCTGATCGCCACAGATGCGAGTAAATACAGTTTATAAACAGTTTGTGTTCAACTGTCGTTTAGTTCAGTTTTGTATTGAGCATCGTCGTTGAAGTTGGCGCGCAGGCGTTAAATAAATAAAATACAAAAGTAAAAGTTGAAGAGCAAGAGGATTTAAAGTGGTGCAAAAAATTACTTAAGGTGAGGCGCATTTATAATCAGTGTAGGTGCGCAAAGAAATCAGGTACTATATAATATGAAAAAAAAAAAATATGTTTATAAATAATGACAATTGCGAATAATGACAATTTGCGAAATAATGACTTCATTAAGAAGTGTATATACTTAGTAGGGCACAATTGTGACTTTAATACAGTTTGAAAAATACTTGCTTAATAAATTATATTTTTTTTTTTTTTTTTTTTTTTTTTTATAAAGTACTTGGCATATTTCCATACTTACATCGTAGCTGTACTGAAGTGCTTTGAAGTAAAGTGGTTAAGCCACAATTTTGTGCCTTAAAACTCGGCATTGACTTCTGGCTTGCACTCAAAATACTGTGTAGGCATGTACATCTGTATGGTGCATATACATACATATATTGTCACCGCCTTATTGCTTATGTTTATATTTATTACTGAAAACATCTAGTACATTCTTCTGAGCAAGTCTTTAAGGCGCTGGCTAAAAGCCTTCGAAAACTGGTTGTGCATATATCAACCATATATCAAATGCGCTATATGCTATGGTAACGTGATATGATCAATTTTTTCAGATATTGCAGCTTTGCCTTAAACAATAACAATAACCCAAACTTCGTGAATATATCTTATCGCATTAGAAAGTTTTCTATAGAAGAACTTGATTTTCAACGGTTAATTTGTGTGGTAGCTTTATGCCATAGTGATTCGATGTGAACAATTTCTTCGGATATTGTATAGACGATTTTAAGGATAATCCATGTCACATTTCTTGTCAATTTACAAACTTTTCCACACAACAACTTCATTTTGATTGTTCCGTTTGTATTGCTATAACATACAATAGTTGTCCGATATGGGTAGTTGCGACAGAAGTGCGGCTTCTTATGGAAAAAAGGACGTGCACAAAATTTTAGCCCGATATCTCAGAAACTGAGAGAGTATTTCACGTATATACAGACGGGCTTAGCTAAATCAACTTAGATGCTCTTTTAAATACATATAAATCACATTAGCCTCCAAAGGTACCTTGATCGCTTTTCCAATTCCTAGTTCATCTGAACTTATAAGAGATATAGTGCACACAGGAATTTCAACCTTTAGTATATAATAGAATAAAATAATCGATATAAATAAATGAAAAATTAGTACTGATCAAGTCAAGTCAGTTTAAAACTGCCAACACATATAGTACAATTATTATAGAACTGTCTTAAATCCGTCCGTTTAAGCCCTCAGTCCTTTAATAACGTATTTCCTGAAGTGAATATCAAAATTTGGAGAACAACGTTCATAATAAAACACCAACCGAAAACTTTCATAGAATTGTAAGCCCAAATATCCCGAAAACTGTCAAATTCTCTATATTTTTTATTATTGGCAGATCTCTAATAAGTATTGATAGGCATAAAGCCCTTTTAATCATTTTGCAACAGCAATTCCACTGAAAGCACATACCAGAAGAATTTCAACCATTAATACAAAATAACGAATTACTTTTCTAACAAAAAAATATATTAACTCTGAATCAACCGAGTAAATTTGCACGGAAAATAAATATAGAATACAATCAATCCAAAGTAACCTAAACGATTTTTGCTTTTTTGAAATTTCCTAGGTATAAGATACAACCTGAAACCTGGTATAAATGGATACCATCAGCTCAGATTTGACTGGACTGAAAAATAAAAATAAATTTACGTATTTTTATACAAAGCTTCAAACTGCTTTCAAAATAGGCTCCCTTTTAGCCAATACAAGCATGCCAAGGCTAAATCCAATTTTTCATACATTTGTACTAAACCTCAGATTGAATAGTCTCCTGAGCTGCGAGTAAATTTTTGGTTTTTCGGTTTCAGCTTAACTTGGAGCTGGTTTGTTCTACAGCATATATCATACCACCTCTACTCGACATCGTTTTTGCTAAATTGTAGGATTTTTGATACGAGTGTAGCATTGACAGGCCTCATACCCAAAATATTACCCAAAACATTAACCAAAATATTATCGAAAATGTGTTGAGTTCATCCATAACAGATGTTCTCTCTGCTTTCCCTCATACCTAAATATTACCGAAAATATTTCCAAAAAAATTAACCAGAATGTTTTTGATGTTATCGTCATTGACAGAGGTTTGAATACTCTCCTACAAAACTTCATTCATTAGGAAACAAATTTTTTATCATTGTTACCGAGATAGTTCAGAGATGTTTTGGTATATTGATTTATTTGTTATTTTTTATTGGATATTATATAAAGTACATACAATGGAATTTCAAAAAAATTAGATCGACGTTTCAGAACAACAAAAATTATTCTTTTAAGAAAAAAGAAATAGGTTTAAATTTTTTTTTTTTACTTCCAAAGCAAACTGTTAGTCTGGAAAATTTTCCTGTTTATCTTTAATTTATCTTTCCGTTATCTTTATTACCAGGAAAACTAGCCAGATCACGATCATATAGCAAAAAATTCATGTTATGCTTTATTTTTCGAAGTCAGTCTGAACAAATATTTAGAAATCTTGCTAATTGCCACTTCATTTGTCAAATTACCCAGAAATCATTTTATATGTTTGTTATTTGGTATTTGAGTTTAACGCCGTAATCGCCAAAGCGATATTGCAGTGTAAAAATTGTCATACTATCGTTAATGAGATCTGTATTATTAGCAACGGAATTGAAATTTACTTTCACAAAACGTTAAATTCTACCCTGAGACTATTTTAATTACTGATTATGTGCTAGTTTTGGTGTAGCACAGAAAATGTTATCAAGGTTGCGTTTCGTTGTAGAATTACTACTTTCTCCAAAAATTTTATACTCACAATTACTCACTATATTTTTTATAACAAAAAAATAAAATCGCACAAAACTTTTAAAATGTATGAGAAAAATACACACACATAGAAATTTTTTAAGTGATTAAAGTAAACCAAGAAAACAAATCCGATTATGACATGATAAGCAATACGTGATTCTAAACTAATACTTAAAGTGCCGCATACTTACCTATTTAAATTATTTTAAATAATTCTTACTGCATTTACGTACCTGCTATTATTGATTTCATTATTTTTTATGTATTTAATGGCTTTAATAAATTTTTTTGTCAGGTCAAAGATCTATCAAAATACTTAAGCTTATCAGTGTTTGCCACGAATTGTGATACACCAGGAGAACTCACTTAAAACACGAACATACATATGCTTCTTTAAATATATCGAGAACAGTTGTCTTAGATAATAAATTAAAAACTTTCCTACTTTCTAATGACTTAACGATTTAGACTTCAGCGTTTACTTCGTCATTATCACCAGTTTTCTTCCCAGCGTGTATTCTTTTGAGGCCTGAGAACCTAAAAGACTCGGTGGGGCCAAAGCTGAACAATTTCAAGCAAATTTTTAATAGTTTGTATTAATTATTTGACCATGGTTTTATAAGTTGTTATTGGTAGTACATTGAAAGCTTTTGCGCGTTATACCTTGCATAGAACTTTCGAAGAAGATCAATGGGAAAATCCTCGGCCAGACACATAGATGGTGCTACTAGAGTTAAATATGATTTTTAGTTGGCCCTAAACTTTCATAAATTTGACAGCTGTCGTATCATTAGTTTGGGAATTACGTCATATTGAGTGAATCAACTTCTGCTTTTCCTGAAAAATCGATAAGAAGGAATTTTGCGCGTTGATAGAATATTAATTTTTGAAGGGAAGAAATACGAGTACAGTTAAATCAAACACTTGGCTTAGTGACGAGTTTCTATACTTCTCCAGAAAATCAACCATAAAAATTTGGTAAGCTAAATTTAGACGTGGTCGTTTCACCAGCACCGTAGACGGTGAACGCAGTGAACCCTCAAAAGAGGTCTTTACCGATGATATCACCAAAAAGTCTACATAATAATTTTGCATGACCATAGAGCCTAAAGATATCAGCTGAATGTGTACTACGTATAATTCACGAATATTTCGGTGTGAGGAAGCTGTGTGGAAAGTAGATGTCTCGCGAGCTCACTTTTTACCAAAAACAACGACGATTTGATGATACGAAGCCTTGTTTGGAAACGTCTAAGCGTAATAAACCTGAGCGTTTTAATTTATATGTGACCATTGATGAAACATCATTTCTCTCCGAAGTCCAATCGGCCGTCATCTGAGTGAACTACAAACGATAAACCCGCTTCAAAGCGTGGAAAAACGCAACAGTCGGCTGACAAGGCTATGTCGTCTGTATTTTGAGATGCGCAAGGAATTTTTTTTTAAAGAAGGACAAAGCGTTATAAAACCGTTTGAAAGACGAAATCACCGAAACGCGACCGCATCTGAGGAAAAAGAATGTGCTCTTTGACCAAGACAGTGCAAACTGTCAAAAGTTAATGAAAACAATGAAAAAAATTCATAAATTGAGTTTCTGCATCCACCATGTTTTGCAGATGTGGACCCAAGCGACAATTTTCTGTTCTCAGATCTCAAAAGAATGTTCGCTGGGATAAAATTTTTGTCGAATGGAAGGTGATCGACTAGTTTCTATTTTCTATTCTCAGTTCCCAAATAATGTTCTCTTGGAGAAAAACTAACAAAAATAAACTGATGAATTTTCGTCAAATGAAAAGTGATGGGCGAAACTGAAGCTTATTTTGAAGCAAAGGGCAAATTGTACTACAAAAATGGTATTGAAAATCATCCTATCAATCACCTTTGAAGAGAACAAAACAAGGATTTTGAAAAAAAGGTCTACAACTTTGCTTCCGCCGTTGTTTTTTTTTTTTTTTTTTTTTTTTTTTTTTTTTTTTTTTTTTTTTTTTTTTTTTKTAAATGTTAGGCTTATTTGTAAAAAAAAACGGTCCAAAGTGCTTTCCCTTCCCTTTAACACACGAAATGCTTTATGATCCCATTTTTTGTAATCTAATAGAAATCATACAGATTGTAGTAGCAGAGTAATAGTATTATCTATGTTGTGTCAGCCTCAGTAAAGCGTGGACGGCCGCACTTTTCTTGGAATTAAAAAAGAAAAGCAAAATTTCCCGCAAATGTCGAGAATTCGGCTCAAAAAGTGACACTTTCAGTTGAGAATAAGTTTGGGATGCAAACAGACCTCTACAAATATTTTGTTGGGTTAATGTTGACAAAAATGTCCAAGATCGATATAAAACCATTTAATCGACCAGTGCTTGATACTAGAAACATCTATTGGAAAACGCCGGAAGCAAAGTTGTAGACCAATACTATACTAGGCCGGGGACTTCTCAATTGACTTGTTACATACAAATTTTAAAGAACTAATTTCATTGTAATAATAATATTGTTGCATCTTTTAATGGCTTCGTCCATAACAGTCTCTTTACACATGATATGTACGGGAATGACCAAACCACTTAGAAATGCTTGTTTCGTCTGACGTAGAGGCGGAATAACTCTCATTTAATCACTTTTTGGTATCAGCAGCGTTTTTTCACTGAATATATGGCTACGCACGTTCATTTCTTTGCAAACTTAGCCTTTTATGTACGCTTGTTTACCTTAGTCTCACTATATAACTTGCACGTAGTTTATTTCTCACTTGTACTATATGTGGCATTAATATATATTTGATTTCAAGTGGCACTCTTAAGACAACAGTGGTTTTGTACGTGTTTTGTCTAGCTTTGTAACACAAAATATTAGAGGTAATCAATGCAAGTCTTACATTAAAAAATCTCAAAAATGTTATATTATATAAAAAAATTTATTAAAAAATCTAAAAGTGTTTAGACCACCCTCGTTAACATTCAATTTGTATGTGCTAAGCAAGGTCATAATGAATATAAATACAGTTGAAAATGTTGCGGAATACATAGTAGGCATATTTCAATAAATATTTATGGATCATTAAATTGGAAATGAAATATCTCAGCGAGACTGAAACACACTTCCACAAATTAGATATAAAAATATATAATAATATGTACGAGTATAATACAACAAGCCTACAAAAATGATATGCAAAAAAATCAGCGCAATTGGAAAGGCAACAATTGAAGTGGACGTAACCCTGTAAGTTTCTACATTTGTAGCAAAATTACAGAGAATAAGTGCTTCAGCACTAAAGTGCCATAAAAGCACGAATATAATCACACGTATATGTATATACATATGTATAGTCTGTATATACATATACATATGTAGGTACATACCAGTAAATAGGTATGTCTCAGTTTTGCATGAAAAGTGAATTCACCTTTGCAATAATTTCGTTTTATTGGGCAAATCTCACTTTATGCTCACTGACCCACAAAAAATTTAAAAATTAAGGTTATGCTGACAGGCAGAGTAAATACAAATGGCGGGGAGATTGCGTCGGCGTGTGTTTTGTTTCTTATCAGCGAATTTTTTATTTTATTCATAAATTTTGCAATGTATGTTTGTGTATATTCGCTTCCCGAAATAAATATATGATATGTGCATACATATATTTGTTTTAGTTGTAACAGCTGGTTTGGAGGAAAGTAGTTGACACTGGCTTTTGACGTCAGGCAATAAATCACAAAACAACTATTGTACAGCTGATTCTAAATATGCATTATTATTGCAGTTGTCAAGTATAAAATTTTTTCCTTGCATGGAAAAATGTACCTATTTCAACAGCTTAAATATCACTTTTTAATTTTTTGTTATATTTATCTATTTTTAGATTTTTAACGACATTTTTCTTATAAAAAAATAAACTGTCGCACTAATTATCCCACCTTAACGGTAAAAAAATGTCCATAATTATTATGCCAAATAGGAGCGCTATCTGTCAACCAATTTGTTTACAGCAGCTACTTAAGTCAGCACACCTCACTAGTGCAATGGATAAAAAGATCGATCAAAAAATTTGTTTCAACTTTTGTATTTCTAACCAAATTTCGTATGTAGTAGAATCGTTTAGTTTTATTAAAAACACAAGCCTACGAATGGTACAAAGCCTTCAAAGATGGACTAGAGATCGTCGGAAGACAAGTCTCGTTCTGGACGACCTTCGACCTTTTGAACTGATGAAAATATGAAAGAATTTAACTTTTCTGACAGTTTGATTGATTGTTTGATTCAAAATTGTTTGACGGTGTGGAGAGTTTTGCATTGCGTTTTGTGAGACTAGTAGAGAATGATCTACTATTGGCTCAAACCTTAAGTCGTATCTGTACTGGCAGCATTTGAACCAGGTGAAGGGAAAAAATTTCTAGAAAATCGTCTAGAAATGTCTAGCCTTGGTCAAAAGGTTTTGGTTGTGAGGTTGGTCCGGACCTGGTACCAAGTGATCTGTGTCTGTCTACAGCGAATGATTTTGGTGGAAAATTTTCCTCAAGAGAAGCTTGTGAAAATCATATCAATCTGCCCCTCTTTCCATTAGGAATTAGGATTTCTATGAGAGTTATCTTATAAAACGCTGGATATTTGACCTAAACGCGATAATTCTAATTATATTCTTTCAATTTTTTTTTAAACTGCGATCTCAGAAAGTTCTAGGAGGAAATTGGATTAATAAACGCTAATTATATTAAAAAAAAACAAATTTTCGACTTTATTTTACAATTTAGATAATGCAAATATAGATTAATTTAGACATATTATTCTACAAAAGTGTTTTATACATACAAACACATAAAAGTAAATACTAAAATAGCTTGCATATTCATATTCTAATATTCAATTGTTACTCTCCCTCTTTTTAGTGAATTGCCAAAAAAATGCACTCTCATTACGCCTTAATAGTCACATTGGCCTTGTGTGCGGTCAGCGCCCTGGCACAGGTAAGGTCTCAACAATGAATGACATATATATTTAGATATGTTTTTAAGTGACTAATGTGCTTTATGTATCGTCTTTGTTAATAACGGTGTCTCAATCTCAGAAAAGTTCCACAATGGAAGCGATTGCTTACTTGGCGGGTACATCCACGGTAAAGGGAAATGTTACTTTCATTCAAAATGGCTGCTCCGAAAATGTTCACGTGCGGGTCTATTTGGAAGGGCTGACTCCTGGTAAGCACGGTTTCCATGTGCATGAGAAGGGCGACTTGACCGGCGGCTGTCTCAGTACTGGCGCACATTTTAATCCCGATAAGGTACTTATTTGACACATTTATATATTATTATATTAAAAAATCGTAGGAGAAAGTTTATGTTCCAAATTAAATTAAATTCAAGGTTACGCAATAGTTTATAATGTAAAAACTTTAATATATTAGTCGACCACCAGCTGAGGCGGAGCCTTCATCGTTATATAAAAAACGAAGCTCAAAACTTTTCATTTGCAAGAGTTCGTGGCTAATATGGCCTACGATTTGTTTTGAGATGCCAAAGTGGTTAACTAATTCACTCAATTTCCACTTACGTTTACCCAATCTCACGAATTTTTGCGATATTCACTGGCGTAACCGCTTCTAGTAACCTTCGCGTACAAGGTACACCATTTGGTATGGAGATATAAAACCATACCAAATGCATATCAGTGCTCTACAGTTGAATATGCTAAAACAATGTTTTTATCGATACAAAAAACTCATCATTTTTATATCCTGAACAGGGAACATATATATTAAGTTTGCCACGAAGTTTGTAAGACCCAGAAAAAGATTAGTGTGACGAGCTGAGTTGATTTATCTATATGCACCTATGAAGGAAATTATAGTTTCGGTGTAGTTGAATGTTAGCTTTGACCATGAAAAGGGTATATTACATTTTTCACGATGTTTGTAACTCCCAGAAAGAAATATATATTTACAAATTATCAGCATGATAAGCTGAGTCGATTTAGCCATGTTCCTCTGTCTGTTCTCAGATATCCTCAGTTTTTGAGATATCAATCAAAATTTTGCATCTGTCCTTTTTTCAGCAAAAATTATTTATCGGAACGACCGATATCGAATATAGTATATAGTTTGATACAAATGAACGATCGATATAAAGTACTTGTATAGAAAAATTTTTCATTGAAAAGATATCTTCAGGAAATTTTGTATGAATTATTATCGAAGGCGATGAGCAATCTCCGAAGATATTGTTCAGATCAGATTGTTCGGCCCACTATCGCATTTAGCTGTCATAAAACCTGAACAATCAGAGTAAAATACTTGAAAGGAAAGCTTTTTCAATCGAAACGAAATTTAGGATGGATATTCTATTTGTGAATGATATTACTTTGGAGCAGTCGAAGCTAACATTCTCTTTTATTCCATTATAACTAAAAAAAAAGAGGTAGATTCACTTTGAGGTCTATATACATATAACTCGAAAACGATTCAATTGCAATGTCATGAAACTTTGCTAATATATCCATATCTAATTAATATTCTATACTAATTTACATAACTAATAAAAGAATGTCTCCTCCATAGATGGATCACGGTGCGCCTGGCGATGAAGTGCGTCACGTTGGCGATCTCGGTAATATTGAGGCCGATGCGAATGGCATTGTCGACACAACTTTCACCGACCACTTAATCAGTTTAACCGGCAAACGTACAATCGTCGGACGTGGTTTGGTCGTGCACGAATTGACCGATGATTTGGGCAAGGGTACCCATCCTGATTCGAAGAAGACTGGAAATGCCGGTGGACGTCTGGCATGTGGTGTCATCGGTGTTAAGTAAATAAATATACTCACAACATGCATACACACCTACACTAAGAAAGCTTCAACAAACGCTAAACATTATCTGTAACTGCTTTTTATAACTGTTTTGTCACTCAGTGAATCGAATTATTGTAGTTTCCACTCTTTTCATTTAAGTATATTGTAACTATACTATGTATTTTGTATTATTTTCTCCTGTTCTGCTGTTCTATTGCACTTCTGTTATTTTATTATATTCACGAATTCTATTTTCCTTTCATATATCTTTCTCTTTCTGATTTTTTTATTGAAGATTTATATACTCATGTTTTTTGCACTAATTATTGTTTATAAGCAGAAACAAGTTCGCTATGTGGCTTTGTTGTAAAGTAACTCGAATAAAATCGTTTGTGGTTAATCGAATCTGCCAAATTAACATTAAACTGTACTTTGCTTAGTTATCTACATATTCGTGTTTGTATTTATTTTGGGTATTTATTTTGTACTTGTGCACTTGTTTGTATGTACCATTCTGGTTTCTTTTGTGTATATTTAGTTTTAATTAGAGGTGACACAGCACACACACATACATGTTTCGTAAATAAACAGCACTGAGTAAAACGCTAACAGCCGGTTCCTTCAAGGGTAGGTATAAGCTTAAAAATGTTTAGTATCCTTAACTACCAACCAAAGTAAATTTATATATAACAAAAAAATACCCGGAAATAGTAAATAAAACCCAAAATATTTAATTATTCATAAATATTTATTTTGTCGCCTCTAAAGTAATCTCCACCAAATGTACTAAACTTATACCAACGATCTTCCCAGTCCTTTATTTTTATGGAACACTTTTCATATGCACTTTTTGTGAAGGCCTTGGGCGCCTTCTATAAATATTAAATTTTCTCTTCAACCAACTGAAAACGGATTCCAGGGAATAGTAATTTCAGTCACACGGAACCAAATCTGGTGAATACGGAGGTTGATCGATGTTATTCTTTGTCTTTAAATTCGGGATCGTGGATCGATGGCATGGTGGATTATCATCGTGTGAAACCTTGAATTGTTCTTCCACAATTCTGGCCATTTTCGAGGGATGTTCTCAAGCATTGCCCCTCGGGACGAGTCGAGCATGAACGCATTTCATATGCAAAGTAGCCACCAACTTAACTAAATGGACTCGCGAGAGATATCGACCTCTCTTGTCATCTCTTTATCACATACCTGACGATTTTCAAGCACCATATCCTTAACTTTTTTAATATTTCATCAGTTGAAGGCGTCGAAGGTCGTCCAGGACGAGGCATGCCTTCAACGATCTCTCCACCATCTTTGAAGGATTTGTACCACTCGTAGGCTTGTGTTCCGATTAAATACACTTTAAAAATAATGTCCATGTAACCTAATCTAAATTTTTAGATAGCTATCGAAGCTAATCGTTATATAGTGCTAAGCGTGGCTATCTTTTTCATACACTAAGAAAAAATAGTGAAAGATGGTATTCCCATCGAAACTGCTTGGCATCGCTTTTGCAATTAAGGAGGTAAGGCCACACTCTTTCCATAACATTTTAAACCTCCAATACCATTTCGTAGAGCAGTCAATTTCCTGAAAAAATATTAGTTTTCCGAATCATGTTGATTTTTTTCTTTGCGTTATAAAATTTATAAAAAAAATTTAAATTTTTCTATCTGATAATAAGAAAACAAAGAAAACTGTAAGGCGAAGGACCTTCAACGTGCAATTAAGATTTTATACTTGCAGACACTTTTTAGAGCTACCAAAGAMCCAAAGAAAGAAAGTGTAGCATACGAAAAAACTATTCGACGCTAATACAGTAGGGACAAACCGCCAGCAAACCAATTACTTTCGTAATATTAATCACTTTGATATACATAATTCTATTTCAATCTGCACTTTGGGTATTACGATCACCCGTTAAGCTAAGACCCCTTATCCCCTTTGCATATATGGCCATACTCGTAGAGTAGTTCGAGTTGGTTTTGGGAGAACAGCTATGAAAAAGCATAAACACAGGGAGAACAATAAATCGTAAAATTTTTCGATCTAATCTCATGACAGTCGGATCTACATAACTCTAACAGTACAAGAATTTGAAAATAAAACAAATTCTGCCAAACCATCAACATTTCACAGAGTTCCTTGAAGTGTGCTTTCTGGTGATGAAAACATATCCAACACAAGGAGTTGTGAGATTAATTCAAACGCTTCAGGAAATCGAACAACATTAGCAAAATTAGCGTCGAACCTGTTCTTTGAAATGTATACCGTATGTATGAGCGACTTATGAACAATAAGTACATGAATACTTTCTTATACCGACCTGCTTGTCGAGGGTTAATAGATACTACTAATGTTGGATAGAGGCTTTGATTCCGATCACAATGTTTCAAAGTATTCTAGAAACATTTTCGTAACATTTTCGGGGTTATATAAATACTTTATTTTAATAGAAGAAATAAACTCATAATTAGAGAACTTAAATATTTGATTTAGGGCTATACACTTCTGACAACCATCAATCCTTTTCGTATTATCCTTGGAAACAAAAATGCTTTTTATTTTCCCTTTCCAAGCACTTAACTGATAATCCTCTCATCTCTCCCATTTAATACTTTTAATATTTTAACATCGAACAAATCTATTAAATTTGGCAACCGGAAATCGTTAAGTAGATGCGATCTACTTCTATATCGCCTAATCCAACAATATAGTTAAAGATTTTGTCAAGAATAGATCTTGAAATGATTTTTTAATTTGGTAGAGACTCCATACTTGTCGTCATTAAAATATCTTAAAATTCTAACATAAACAAACTAAAAGAGTACAAGTAAACACACGATTCTAACCTTAAAAGCCGGTACTTTTCTATGGAAGCACAATATGGAGAGCATTTCAAGCAACTAACCAAACATGATTACATCAGTCGAAACTAATGTCAAATGCATTGAAACCTTTGAAACATATTTTTCCAGAGCTTATACACCACCACAAGTACCCGCTGTAAGTTGTGAACCGACATTTTATGTGCCACATCAACAGCCGCACGATCATGTTGTTTATCCCATTCTAACTTCGAGCCTACCATATCCATATGCATTGCCATATTTTTATTAAAACGCAAAACCAAAATCAAAGCAAATGTTTAGAGGCATCATTTGTAAAACTTAATCATATGAAATATTATTAAAAATATTTCTTTAAAATGCTATATATATGTATGTGTATAAATCTATTAGCAATGTGTTCATGAAAATTTCATAAAATCATAAAAATCACAATCACATTTATTTTTGTTTTGAGAGCACAAATTTAACAGTTTTAACTACCAAAATTTTTAGCAACATCGCTGATGAATGGCCCTGTTCGAGCGCTACAGGAAAAGTGGTTTCAATATTTGCCTTCGTCCTAACGGTATTAACCAGTCGCGTGCTCTCTTAGGTGATTGCAACTCAAATGAAGTATAAGAAAATGTGAGCAGGATGTATACCTCTCACAGATCGCAATTTTAGAAATAATTCATGAAGTTAACAACAGAAATAATTTATGAAACACCAAAGTATTGAATTAATTTATAAAAAAAAAAAATACTTTTAACAATATTTACTGGTAAGAATACTACAAAACTGTATAAGAAAATAAATTTTGCCATTCGGCACAAATAAATCTAATTTTATTGGACAAAAGATATTAATTTTAAATACTTTATTCTACAAAGAAATTCATACATTACTATTAGCAAAAAATAGTAAGGCTTTTTTCATAATTTTTAAATTTTTAATTTATTCTTCAAATTCCCGGAATAGGTCAGGTGAATACGTTGTTTACGGCACGATAATGGTTAAAAACTAGGTAGAAACTCTAGAAGAATCAGCGCATAATACTCAAAAAATATTCCTTATTGAAAGTTTGGCCGGTCGGAAGTAATTCACAATGCACCAAATCTCGATAATCGAAGGAAACTGTCAACCTAATCGGGATTTTACACATGTTTTGACGTATTTTTTCGGACTCAGCTCACCTTTGCCACGATATTCGACCTATTTATCGTTTGTTTTCGTCTGTTTATCCAGGTCTAAGCACAGATCCAGGACTCATAGCCAGTAATAATACGTTTAATGATATACAGGTAGTCGGAAAGCATTGTTTCCCAGATGTCAACTCAACGCTGTTTTTCGACAAAATTTAGTGATTTTGGGACCAATGGTGCTTTCACATTTCTGAGATCCAGATGATCTTTCAAAATGGTTTTCACTGATCCTCCTGATATTCCAACGAACCAGTAAGATCGTTAATCTCGGTTCTCAAGCACCAGTTCCTTTTGACGTGTTGATCATCAATTGATGTTGCTGGCCGTCCTGGAAGTGGTTCGTCGTCAACTAATTTTACCAAGATATCTAAATTTTTACTCAAGTAACTGCTAACACAGAAGTACGGATTTCAACTCGCCTCTTCATCCAGATCATTTATATATATTTATATACATATGATACATACGACGCTCTAACTCGATATCTTTATTTTTACTTTCACATGTAATACTTCTCAGAAGATACCAGAAGCAAGCAGTAAAATGGCGAATCGAAGACAGCTTGTTATAAGTAATATTATAACATTATTCTGTTATCTTTTATAGTCTGAACACGACGAAATCGCAAAAACAAAGAGCCCCATTTTGAACTGTAAACGAAAGCGATAACAAATTTGCAAGAGTTGTGTTTCGAATTTCTCCTATATGGCGCCACCAACTCAATATCTCAAGAGAATGTGTACCGTAAATAAATTTAGCAACAATGAATAGCTAATCGTCGATTTTTAAACATAAGAAGGAGCTGTTCGGTGATAACACGATCAAAGACAATATATTGGAGTTCCGATTGAAGCACTCCTTTTAGCATACAACTTAAATTAGAATCATGCATAAAAATATTATAGTCTACTATAAAAATAAATGTGTTCGAAGTAATCGACTACGCGACACAAAAGTATAAAAGTAAGTAAATAATATATTCTCAGCAAACGTCATAGTCTTAAAATAAATATGTGTTCTAGTTCCAAAGTACTGGAAAAACTCACTCTCTATTTGATTTTATATTCCCAGCAAGAAAAATACCATAGTTGGCAAGTGACACTGCTGGAAATACTTAAGTGAGTAGAACCATGAACTGGGGGGATGTTAAATTAAATGGCAAACATTTTGTAGACAAATAATTTACATGTATGAATGTAAGTATGTAAGTAATATAAATAAATGTTTCCAAATAAATTCAAAGAGCACCATTCCTTACGTAGTACCCTTTACAACTAGCCTCATTGTGTACTACATAATTTACATAGTAAATAATTGTATTGTAGTGGCGCATATTCAACCTGGACGGAATGCGATTACCATCTATGTCAACCTAAGGTAAATAAATGCCATTTACTTTTTGGTATTTCCAAT